TTTTGGGAGTATGGCCATTTGGGCAATATTAATTCTGCCTATCCGAGAACATGGGAGGTCTTTCCATCTTCTAAGGTTTTCTTCAATTTCTTTGTTTAGTGTTCTGTAGTTCTCATCGTAGAGGTCTTTCACATCATTTGTTAGATTGATTCCCATGTATTTTTTTTAGGTTATTGTGAATGTGGTAGCTTTTCTAATTTATCTTTGCAACAAAGGAAACACTAAATAACATAAAGAGACAGCCTACAAAACTGGAAAAAATCTGCATCTCCACCTGCACCTCAGATAGAGCATTAATCTCCAGGATATATAAAGAAATGCAAATCAAAACTAAGATTTCATCTCACTGCTGTCAGAATAGTAATCATCAAGAATACAGGCAACAATAAATGTTGGCAAGGATGTGGTGAAAAAGGTACACTCATACATTGATGATGGAACTTCAAATTGGTGAAAGCACTATGGAAAACAGTGTGGAGATTCCTCAGAAAATTGGAAATGGAACCACTATTTGTCCCAGCTATCCCACTCCCTGGTTTATACACAAAGGACTTAAAATTAGCATACTATAGTGACGCAGCTACATCAATGTTTATAGCAGCTCAATTCACAATAGGTAGACTATGGAACCAACCTAGGTGTCCTTCAATAGATGAATGGATAAAGAAAATGTGGTATATATACTCAATGGAATATTACTCAGCTTTAAATAGGAGTGAAATTATGGCATTTGCCAGTAAATGGTTGGAGGTAGAGAATATCATGCTAAGTGAAATAAGCCAATACCACAAAACCCAAAGCCAATTTTTTTCTCTAATATGCAGATGCTAATTCACAATAAGGCAAAGGGCAAAAAGGAAAAATAGTGTTACCTTAGATTAGGTAACGGTAAGTGATGGGAGGGGAGAGCAGAGGATGTGGGGATACTAGATAGTAGAATGAAACATGTATGTATATATATGACATATATATATATATATATATATAGACAGATAGATATACATGTATATATATATATATATATGATTCTGCAACATGCATACTCTGAAAAATGAGAAATTATATCTCACCTATGTATGATGTATAGGAGTACATAAATGCATTCTACTGTCATGTATAACTAATTAAAACAAATTAAAAATTTAAAAAAAGAACTCAAAAAACTATAAACACCAAAAAAAACAAACAAACCAATCAACATATTGGCTAATACTGAACAGACATCACAGAAGAAATACAATCAATCAACACATGATAAAATGTTCATCTCTCGCAATTAGAGAAATGCAAATCAAATTAATCTAAGATTTCATCTCACTCCAGTCAGAATGGCAATTATCAAGAATATAAGTAATAATAAGTATTGGCAAGGATGTGGAGGAAAAGCTTTAAATTGGTACAACTGCAAATTGGTACAACCACTATGGAACAAACCAAGTTTTCCTCAGAAAATGGAATATTACTCAGCCTTAAAGAAGAATGAAATTATGGCATTTTCAGGCAAATGGATGGATYTGGAGAATATCACGGTAAACAAAATTAGCCAAACCCAAAAACCAGAGGCTGAATGTCTTCTTGATAAGTGGATGTTGATCCATAAAGGGGGTGGTAGGGAAGGGACTTTGAATTGGACAGAGAGGAGTGAGGAGAGGGAAGGGGGTGTAGGGGATGGGAAGGACAATGGAATGGGATGGACGTCATTATCCTATATACATGTATGATTACACTACTAGTGCAACTCTGCACCATACACAGCTAGAGGAATGACAAGTTGTGCTTCATTTATGTACAACTGTCAAAATGCATTCTACTCTCATGTATAACTGATTACAACAAATTAAAAAATAAAAATTAATGACATTCATGAATGTCATTAGAATATTTATTAGAGGTTAAATTATGTTCCCAAAAATGTTATGGTGAAGTCCTAATCCCCAGTATCTATAAGTATAATGGAACCTCATTTGGAAACAGATTCTTTGCAGATATAATTAAGATAACATGAGATGATTAGGGTGGACCCTGATTCAATGACTAGTTTCCTTACAGGACAAGGGAAATTTGGGCACAGATACATAGAGGGAGAATACCATGTGAAGACAGACTAGAGACTGGAGTAATATATTTGTAATCCAAGGAATATCAAGGATTCCTGGCCTTTGCCAGAAAGTAGGTAGAAGCATGGAACAGATTCTACCACAAAAGCCCTTAAAGAAACCAATTCTTCCAACACCTTGATTTCAGATTTCCAGTATCCAAAGCTGCGAGAGAGAGAGAGAGAGAGAGAGAAAAAAACTTTTATTATTGAAAACAACCCATTTTGTGGTATTTTGATACATCAATCCTAGGAAACTAATGCAATACTGATATAAATAAATGAATAAATAAAAATAAGGAAAACACAAATCTTCCATTAAGAAGTTCTACAAATAATTTGAAGTTGATATTTCACCCGTTAGGTTAGAAAGCATTAACTCCCCATTTCTTAAATGTGAGCTGCACATAGTCACTTCTTTCAAGTACAGCACGAAAATTCTGAGGGGAAAGAGTAGCTTTAGAGTAGCGAAACCTGACAAAGATCAATATTGACAATGATAAATCATGTTGGTAATATGTACCCCTGGGAAAAAATTATGAAAATGTGACTTTATTTCTATGTTCTATGGTAAAATCTTAAGCAAAATACCAGACAAATCTCAAATAAATGATATACTACAAAACACCTCACAAGTACTCCTCAAAATTGTCAAAGTTATTATAAACAAAGAGGTTTAATACAATTGCCACAGCCAAAAACAGCCCAAGGAGTCAGGAACAACAAATGTAATGTGGTATCCTGTATGGGATCCTAAAACACAAAAAGAACATCATGAAAAATTGCAGATATGAGAATGAAGTATGGATATTGGTTAGTAACAACTATCAAATTTGATTCACTAATTGTAACAAATAACACTAATGTACTCATGTAAAATGTAAGTAATGGGGAATATGCAAAATTTTGTACTATGTTCATAATTTTTGTGAAAATCTAAAATAGCTTAAAACATTTATAAAAAATAAATGACCAACAAAAAAATAGAATTCAGTTCATTAACCACCACCACCATGGTCAGATTAAATTAAAAACTCACATTCAGAACCATTTTATCAGTTCAATTGTACCAGCATGTCCCATCCTCCTCCATTAAAAAGTAGTACCCACTTTGTACCAGACATTAATGTGGGTACTGAGAAAAACAAGATGATAAAAACAAAGTTCCTGCTGAGTAGTTCACATTCTCATATAAATTCATAAATCTTAAAGACCAGGGCATATGCAGTTTCCTACCTGATCCTCAGTATGATTCCAATTATACATCCTATGGTGACTTGGAATGGACAATTTTGACTAAAAACACAGGCAGACTGTAAGCACTGGTGAAGGAAGAAACTAGCCTACCCCTATGAAGGAACACTGAGTAGGCCTCTAAATGGCTTGTACTACAACAAATGAACTTCTCTACAGAGAAGATGTAGAATTTCAAGAATAGTATTTTCTTCCCAATTCACAGAAGAGCCACATACATGCAAAAGAACTTGGGGAGGGGGATTAAAATACTGGAAAGATAAATACTACTATTCACTTCTACTTACCTACTCAAAAATTAACATTTATTATTGACTCAAATTAACATTTCCTTTCCAACACCAATTCCCAAAAAACTAGACACTCGTTCAGAAATAGTTTAATGCTCTTGTTACTCAATATTAAACAAAACATTGGTAGATTCCTCCATTTTCTTCTACTTAAACCCTAATGTTTCCCTTTCTGTGTGTATGCATGTACATATACATGTTCTTTAACATGTCATTAACTACTGTCTTGTTTATTGTACCTGCTATCTTCCGAATCCATCTGTTCCTTTTGATTCTTACTGCCAAACCTGACTTAATAACTATATTCATACAAAGAGCCTCAGTGATTTCTCCTTTTAATAGATTTTCTAACCTTTTATATCCAAAATCCCCCTTACTATTTCCAAGATACCTCTTGGATCATGTTACTAACACCTTTTTGATCATCTACAAAAACCAAGACTAGTTCTCCAATTGCTAACCAAACATTCAACATTTTATATGACCCCATGTTTTATATCCCATGCTCCTTTAGATTAGTGCCACACTGCCTTACCTTAGCACCCATTTGATTTCCCCATTTACTCTTTTTCATCTTTGAATTACTGAGAGCAATTAGATGGCATGGAGCCCAACCTCACTTTATAACAAATAAATTAAGGAAAATAAAGTTCAGAGAGAAGGTTTAAGTGACTTGCCTTATATTACCCAAGCAGGAAAATAAATCAAACTTATAAAAACCTAGGTTCCCTAAGCTGCAATTCCTAATTGTTCTCACCTAATTCACATTCTACCAGTCTTTAAATTCCTGTCAAATGTCGTCCTGTCTTGATCATTCTAGAGCCACTAGTTTGTAGCTGTCTTGGCAAAAGATGAAGGAAAGATATGTTTAAAAAATGTAGGTTCCTGACAATTAGTAGTTAATAGACATCTGACAATTTTATAATACAGAGAAGGGGGAAATTATTAATTGCTTAGAACAGGCTAAACACTGTGATAGCTGCTTTCCATAAATCACCTCAGTTAATCTTGAGGAGAAATAAAACAATTCTCTCTTTACAAACGCTGAAATAGGTTCAATAAGCCCTGTTCCAAGATCATAAAAATAGTGGAAAAGTTGTGTCCAGATCCAGGGTTGGATTAAAAACAAGGGCACATTTCAAGACAGGGTTTCAGATACCAGACCCAGCGTTTTTCACCTTAGTCCTGCTGGCTTGGAAACCATCCCATTACTAGCTAGAGCAAGCATGGAGCTGAAGCTCACACAAGAGGGTCTTTGCCAGGGAAGCCCTGCCAGCTTCCCKGCGTTCTTGATGGGTTTCGGAGGCCACATATCCCGCTTAACCCCCCCAGAATCTGATGGGGGAAGATGGCGGCCACACCTAGCAGCGCCTCCTACAGGCTCCTCTGGACTCGGGTCCACGTCGTACACGTCGTTGAAATGAAGGATGGTCAAGTCGCAGGGACTGATGTCTCCTGGGYAAGAAGACGGCTCTGGGGACTGAGGCAGTGCCACCAGGGGAGCCTCCTCTGCAGCCTCCATTCCCTAGAGAAAGGAACCACTCCGGCTCTCTCAGCTTCGACGTCCCCTCGACAAAAGGTGCGGGTGCGCCTGCGCAAAAGTATCACGTGGATGCCGTAGCGTGTGTGTGTGTGTGTGTGTGTGTGTGCGCGCGCACTACAGCGTGCTTTGCCGCCTTGCGCTGGCCCTCTGCGACCTTGGATCACCGAGGTGGTGCGCTGTGGCTCGCCGACTGTTGAGGACCTAACGGAAACCCAGGTGCCTTTTGTTTCCTCTTTCACAGGATGCAGCAAAAAGGGATTCAGACCAGCGGAACTCATGGCTCTGGGAGTGTAGTCACAGTTCGTTTCTGTAGAATTTTATAGTTTCAACATTTTTAACTCTGATCCTTATAAAGATTCTGACCTCTTGACAGGGACATAGCGGGCTATTTTTCAAGGACTCTTTAAAAGTAAAACCTTTTCTGCAACTAAATACGTAGTTCCTCCAGTGTCTCTGAAAGGTTACTTCTGTTTTCCCAGTCAATTTAAAATAATTAAATATCTTTATACCAGGCACTTGTGCATGACTACAAAACAAAATAGACCTGCCTTTAGGGAGACCATACAAGATGATTTCATCCGATTCTTTGCAATATCCTGAGGTCCCCTTTCTGTCTCCACCATAAAATCCCAATGACCTTTCCTTATGTCACTTTTATTTAAAAATCCACGCAGTTCAAGATTTTTCTATTTACCTCATGATTCTTCATCTGTACTTTTCTGTCATCTCTAATATTATGACTCTGAAATACAGTCGTCTGTTGTGATATGAGCTCTGATATGCTTGTGAGAATAGAGCAGGTGAAAAAATAATGTGCCTGTTGAATTACATTTTACACTCATTATTGTGGACTCATGAAATCTATCCAATAAATAATGTACCCCAGAGAGCTCCAACCCCTTGAAATATTGCCAGTTGGTCATTTGCTCAATTGAACTTTGATTAAATGGACACATCTAGAAGAATACAAAGTGCCAAATTTGATAAAATAAGAAAAATAAAACTTGAACAAATAAGTGAAATTAAACTGAAGTAATAGCAAAGTTTTCTCCTTCCCCAGAACCAAGAATGTTTAACATGTGAGTTGTACAAAGTTGTTCAGTCTATTTTATAAAATTAGTGCAATTAAGATTCCAAAACCAGATCACAGAAAGATAAATATATAAACTCATTTTATTTATAACTGTGGGTATAAAATTTCTTTTAAAATAAATTCAGTAGTACATTTCAAAATTACATTGTTTAGCATTTATACCAAGAATATTAACAATGAATTAACAACAGAAAAATCTGTCAATGTAATATATGCCATATTATCAATATGCCCTATTGATATATTGAAATAGAAAACTAAATGATTATGGCAATTGACACAAAAAGTCTTTGATAAAATTAGGTGTTAAAAATTCATAACAACTGAAGAAAATGACTATTTTAGCTTGGTAAACCAACAGTAAAATTCTATATAGTAAACTAACTTTAAGTATGTTCCCTATAGGACCAGGAATAAGACAGGTCTGGCCCCAATCACCACCATGGTTTAACAGATTACTGGACGTCTGGAAAATGCTGTAAGAAAAAGAAAAAGGTGAAAGGGGAGAAAGATGCAAGGGGGAAAACAGTGTAACATGCCAAACTGAGTGAATAAATGACAAAAATCACCAGATCACCTTAATAGACACAGAGAAAGCGTTTGACAAAATCCCACAGTCTTCCAAGATTAGACACTCAACAAATGAGAGAAAAAAACTTCCTAGTTAACAAAGGGGCATCTTTGTAAGTTACAGTTATAAAGAACACAGCAAGGATGTCTATACTCATCTGTCCTATTCAGCATAAAAATGTATGTTCCCAGTTAGTTTTTGAGGCAAAAAAAACATCCAAACTTAAATATGGAGGAGGAAGAAAAAGGAAACTTCATTTTTGTGTGACTTAATTCTGTACGTAAAAAATTCTAAGACACCCCAATACTGAAACAAAATGGACCAATGATCAGATAGATTCTCAGCAGAGTTCTACCAGACCTTTAACGGATTAATACCAATCGTCCTCAAATTATTCCATGAAATAGAAAAGGAGGGAACTCTGCCAAATTCATTCTGCAAAGCCATTATCATCCTGATACCAAAACTAGACAAAGACACATCAAGAAAAAAAAACTTCAGACCAGTCTTCTTAATGAACGTAGATGCAAAAATTCTTAATAAAATATTGGCAAACCACATACAAAAGCACATTAAAAATGATAATGCACCATGATCAAATGAGTTTCATCCCAGGTATGCAAGGTTGGTTCAGCACCAACCAATAAATAAACACCAATCAATAAATGTAATTCAACACATAAATAGACTCAAAGGCAAGGATCACATGATTATATTAATAGATGCAGTTAAGGCATTTAACAGCACCCATTAATGTTTAAAACACTAGAAAAACCAAGGATAGAAGGAACCTACCTCAACATTGTAAAGGCTATATATGACTAAATCCAGGTCCACATCATTCTAAATGGATAAAAATTGAAAGCATTTCCTCTAAAAGCTAGAACATGACAGGGGTGCCCACTCCTATTCAACATAGCCCTTGAAACTGTAACCAAGCAATTAGGTGAAAAGGGTATTAAAGGGATACAAAAAGGAAAAAAAAAAGAGTTCAAATTATCTGTTGGCCAACAACTTGATCCTATATTTAGAAGACCCAAAAAAACTCCACCAGAAGACTTCTGTAACTCATAAATGAATTCATCAAAATAGCAGGATACAAAGTCAACACCCACAGATCAAACACATTCCTATATACCAATGATTAATTGCTTAAAAAGAAATTAGAGGAACTATCCCATTCACAATAGCATCTAAAATAAAATACCTGGGAATCTGTCTAACAAAAGAGGTGAAGGATTTTTACAATGAAGACTATAGAATACTAAAGAAAGAAACTGAAGAAGAACTTAGAAGATGGAAAGACCTCCCATGTTCTTGGATAGGCAGAATTAATTTGTCAAAATGTTCATGGTACCAAAAGTGCTATTCCGATTCAATGCAATTCCCATTAAAATTCCAATGATGTTCTTCACAGAAATAGAAAAAGCCATCGTGAAATTCATTTGGGAAAATAAGAGGTCCAGAATAGCCAAAGCTATCCTTGGCCAGAAAAGCAAAGCAGGAGGCATCACAATCCCAGACCTCAAATTATACTACAGAGCTACAATATCAAAAACAGCTTGGTACAGTCATGAGGACTAATGGAATAGAATAGAAGACACAGAGACAAACCTACATAAATACAGGTATCTCATACTAGACAAAGGTGTAAAAAAAATACACTGGAGAAAAAATAGACTCTTCAACAAATGGTGCTGGGAAAACTGGAAATCCATGTGTAATAGGATGAAATTTTACAATCTATCACCCTGCACAAAACTTAACTCAAAGTGGATCAAAGAGCTAGCAATAAGACCACAAACCCTGCACATACTAGAAGAAAGTGTTGGCCCAACATGGGCATTTTTTGTCAGTAGACAAAGGAAAATGAAGGGAAGGGTAGAGGGATGAGATAGGGAAAGACAGTGGAATGAATCTGACCTAACATTCTTATGTACATATATAAATACACCACAGTGAATCTCATCATCATGGACATCCAAAAGCTGCTAATTTTAAAAAAATTGAAAGTAAATAGCAGGAAGATCAATGGAGTAGAGGGAAGGGAATGAGGGTTGGAAAGAAGGGATAGGAAGGGGAAGTACTGGGGACTGAATTAGAACAAATTACATTCCATGCTTCTACCATTATGTCAAAATAAATTGTCATGTCTGTCTGAGTTGGGTAGACTGAAACACTCTCTCCTCACAATATTTCTGGAAATCTAAAAATGTTTTAAAATTGCTTATTTTTTAAAATTAAGAAGGTATTTAATGAAATTCTACTATCAACTTCACAAAACTCAAAGTGGATCAAAGAGCTAGCAATTAAACCACAAACCCTGCACATACTAGAAGAAAATGTTGGCCCAACATGAACATTTTTGTCAGTAGACAAAGGAAAATGAAGGGAAGGGAGTTGTTCAGCAAAATCATGGGATACAAGATCAATTTACAAAAATCAATCTTATTTTTTTATATTACCAATGACTAATCTGAAAAATAAATAATATTCTACTCACAATAACAAAAAAAGAACAAAATACTTAGGAATAAATTTTAAAGAAGGTGCTGCCTCATACAACAAAAATTATAAAACATTGCTAAGAAAAATTAGAGAAGTTTTAAATGAAGAAATAATTTTATTTATGGATTTGAGGACTATATTAAGGTGTCAATTCTCTTCAAATCTATAAATTTGACACAATCCCTATCAAAATTTCCATGAAGGGTTTTTTGCAGAAATTGAAAAGCTGATTCTAAAATTTATATGGAATAGGAAAGTACTAGAATTGTCAAAAAATGTTAACCAAGATCATTTAATTTATTGAACATATATTTTTAATTCTGTGAAAATATTTATAATAATTGCTTTGAAGTCTTAGTCTCTGCTAAATCAACATTGAGCTCAATTGGAGCCATTTTTCATTAATCCTTATTTTGTCTGAGTGTGGATCTCTTTTTCATCCTGTTTCTTTGCATGTCTAATAATATTTGATTGGAAACTAGACATTATATAATAATATGGTGTCTTTGAGTTCTGTTGTGTTTATCTGGACATTGTTGTTTGGGGTTTTTTCTTTCTTTTTTTTTTTTTTTTTTGATAGCTATCAAGGATTTTTTTTTTTTCTACAGAACATCATTGTTCTTTTGTTTTACTGCATAGTCTACTTGCTTGCATTCAAATTGTGAACGTTGTCTTCCCCGTGTTAGGCAACTACTGATATCTGTGTCCTAATCTTATGAGTTGTAGTTATTGCCTAGCTACTCCTGTTTCACAAGTATTGTTGCCTGTATGATATAATGGTCATTCAAGGATTTGGACAGCTCTCCT